GAAACGACGACAACGACAACGATACGAACGACGGAACGACAACGACGACGAGTAACGACGAGACGACGAGATTCTCGAAATTCCCGAGATTCTCGAACTTTCGATTCTCCGAGTTGCGAGATTCTCGACTGGAAATTCTCCGACTCGCGGTCGCGGGAACTCGAAGTTGTCCAACTTGCGAAATTTCGAACCTCGAGACGTGCGACTTTGAACGTTTCGAACCTCGAGACGTCCGACCGTTCGAGCTTCGACTCGTGACTCTTCTACTTTCAACGATCTCTTTCAACTTTGAAACTTTCGAACCTAGAGTCTCCGTAGCGACGCCGATCTTCGTTGATCTTCCCGCTGGTAGAGCCCGGCGGCGGCAAAACCGGCGCCGAAACTTTCGTCCGAGATGGACTCTCGCGCGATATCGCCGAGGGACGGATGTCGCTACGGTGTATCTGTCTTCTTTAGCTCCGTCGAATCTATCGTACATGCGTCCGCTAGTCGCAAGCGCGGACGAGGTATGCAACTACCTCGTCGGTGTTTTAGGATAAATCTCCGTAACATATCTGGTATATGTTGTCATCGTACATTAAGATTATATATTTTATACCGCTTCGCCACCGTTTCGGCGCTTGCCATTTCTCGAGGCGTTACACAGACAGATACGTAGAGACACACTGTGAAATTAAACTACCGCTATACGTACGAGTATATGATATTTATATATATTCTTACGCGACGACGAATACGAATGTACAGATGCTGTGTAATTGGCGCGATGTTTCTTACATGCGATAATAACGTTACGATCTTTGTAGCTTCGATCTTCGATCTTGTAAAATTCAACGACGCTGTTTATATTTGAAATATTGTCATATACGTATACGTAACAATCGACGTGATAAATATCGTTTGTCACGCCGTGTCGGAATTGGTTGCTTGAAAGCTTCTTTTGATGGAAACGCGAGGATATTGCTGACGCCATTCTTGCACTGTGAAATCATCGATACCTTCGCAAAAACTAAGATCGATCATCTCTAATTTCGGACAAAACAATAAAATTCCGTAACACGTGTCGGGAGTGAGAGAACGTGCTCCTAATAAATCCAATTGTCGCAGCCGTTGACACAGTAAAAGTGGCTCCAAGTCTCGATCTGTCAATCCTCTGAGCGCTGCCAGAAATACTTTTTCCAGGCAACGACAAGAGAACAACAATGCTCGTAGGGAATCACCCGGAGCGCCCATTCCACTGCTGTAAAGAGAACGATGACGGCACGAGCGATAAAATTTAATCGATTGCGTTGGGTGAATTAACTGCGCGAATGGCATATTTTCCTGAAAACGTACCACCATCCAAAATCTACCTCTCGAAGTTTGGTACAGCGAGACAAAGCTCTGACTCCGTGCGGAGTTAACGTCTGCGCTTTCCAAAAGTCCACGCTTTCCAAATACGGGCAAGAGTTTCCTAGTTCGACGGCAATTTCGTCCGTATTCAAACGGTCGTGCATTCCTGCCAAATTTAAATGTCGCATTTGGGCGTTCTTTCTTAAAATGGAGCGTAACGTTGGAGTCTCGATGGTTGTTCTGTAAAGTTCCAAACGCTCGAGAAACCTTAAATTTTCAAGCTTCGAAAATCCCTCGTTTGTTATACTCGTGCAATTGCGCAAACACAGTTCTGAAAATAATAATACGTATCTTCGATGGATAATTTTTAAACGTTTGACGAAAAGATCGGGGTAATACGTTTACGTACCTTTTAAATTCTTGCATATCTTTGAAACTTCGAGGATAACGGCGTCGTTTACGAATTGACAGCAATTGAGTCTCAAATGAGTCAAAACAGTCCCAGATGTACGAAGAAAATGTATAAAATCTTGATGTTTGATCATGTTGTAATTTCCACACCACGAAAGATCCAGTTGTTGTAAGTAATGACATCTGGGTGCTAAGCTGTTCAACGCGGATGTATCTAAGCAATGCCAGTAAGGTTTCAAGTTGAGACTCGTGTACAACAAAGCGTCCCTCGCGATGTTGTTGAAATGTTTATTTACTCTGCGTAAACGACACAGCGATCTCAAGTCTAAATTCTTCAAAATTTTTAACGCTGTTTCGTCCTGCGATTTAAACGGATTCGGAATAAATTCAATTCGCGTGATGCGCAACGAGTGAGATAATGATATATATTTTACCGGAAGCGTTGAGAAACTACCGCGGCGTGGTTGATTTTCGAAATCGGTCGAACGCGCCGACAAATTTTCTTGAAACGAGTCGTTCCGTTCGTTTGCGGTGCTTGGTATCGAACGATGAATGTCTCCGATCAGTCTTGGAAAATCTTCCTGTAAAAATTGTTGCAAACTTTTGAATGCTTCTTCTATGGGAGGTACAGACCGACAGTGTTGTCCCAATTTAGACGCTAATTTGCCCTTGCGTGTATCATCGATTATCCTGCTGTGATATTTTACTTGCGTGAATGACGAGCGTTGATCGCTGATAAGAACGATAAAACATATATCGACGTACCTTTTAAAAAGCGTGCAGTGTTTGGAAAGTGTCTTTTTCAGAACTGTTAAATCCTGATTTGCTTTCGAGTGATCTGGCGTTAAATTATAAATATCGTCGTCGCTTTGTTTCGAGTAGCCCAATTCTTTGGAAACGTCGTTCAGATTTCGATGGCGCAGGTTGTTAGGTACGATTAATTCTGACGTACCGATGAGTAATACAGCGTCTAACTCCGTGTAATAATCCAACGAACTGTGATTGAATTCCAATCTTATCGTTTTTGTCTTGAAATTGCACGATCGCAAGTGCGGGGAAAATATTCTTGGTTCGCGTGGCACGACTTGAGGAAATCCGTTCCACAATTGATGCCATTTGCCTTCGGAATTTTGTGCCCAAATTCCGATTACACTCCCGGGATTGTAAGTTTCGTATATCGATACTCTGATTGGATATACCTCTTGATGATATTCTAGATCTTGACGATATAAAAAATATTCTAATTTATTTCCATTTTTCATACGTCGCGAGTATTAACGGTATCGGTACGATATTCCAACAGGTTAAAAATATCTTTAAGAATAGAAACAACATATTACCGAGCGTAATCGAGATATTACGATACGAGTATCAAATGCCAAGAGCTAAATGCTGACGTTTAAATCTTAAATTAAATGTTATACGTGCCTATGTAATCCTGACTTGCGACATTCGCGTTGTTCTGCGGCATGTAATCTGTTAATCTTGAAGGTGCTTTGTCCCACCATTGTCCGTACGTTCTCTGAAATTATAATTTGTCGTTGGACACAACGTAACGTCCTGATTACGAAGATACGGAATATTTTTGTTGTCGATTTTATTTGTGAGAAAT